AAACTGACGTATTTTTTTTTTTCATGTCAGTATACTTATATTTGACCTCATTTCAGTTCAGTCACACTGGGATTGCGGTTTGCGGATGTAGATGACATTCCTTGGCTCATTAAACCACAATTTGGGAAATACAAGTGCTGGTTTGGAGGTAAGCAGTTCATATAATTTATACGTGTATAACAGAAAAAAACTGTTTTATATATATAAATAATTTGCTGAATAATTCGATCTTTACTTGACATTTTATTTTTTTATGGATACCGTTTTATTGCCTTTGCTTATGAGTGTGTAACAGAATACCATTGGTTTCCAGAGGATATGGAACAGCTTGTGTTTTTCTACCTATACATTGCCATCCTGTTATTTGCCAATTGTCTCTTCATTGGGCACACATATTTGGTTAAGAGAAAAATGGATGCGAGTTTGGCGGCGCTGAGGGGTGACCGGGATGGGAATGGAACGAGAACGGCAACTGTTGTACACACCAAACGGAACTACTACTCTGAGTGAGTACAGCAGTTTAGTGTGTCAGTATAAATGTTAATAAAAATATGCTCACATATAGATTGACACATTCATACATAAATACTTGCTTACTTAACTAGGGATATCATAAATATTTTTTTTCTTTATGTACTTGCAGATTCAAAACGAAGTTCTTGTTACTGGCTCTCATGTCGAGCTGCTGGGTGACAGAAGTTCTGTCTTGGCAAATTCCACCAGCAGAGCTTTGGTGAGTGATCTTATTTCCTGATGATTACTGAACTAAATGTTTTCACCATTTCAGTGGCCATATTTAACAGGGCTTTAACGTAATATCATTCTTTTGAAAATAAAAATATATTGCATTGTAAATGATAGAGTTGGGTATGGTTTGTATGGGATTTTGAATGTTAGATTTTTATTTTACTCTTCAATGAGATCAAGAGATTGGTGTGTCTTTTTTCAGGGCTCTCACCGATATATTCAACACTCTCCAGGGTTTCTTCATATTCGTCATTTTCATGCAAGACAGACAGAAACGGCAGCACCTCAAAGAGAAATTCCCGAACCTTTTCAGAATTTTCAAGAACATCATTTTAACCTTCGGGAAACTGAAACATTTTCTTGGGTGTTCTCCCTGCTCAGTCGGAACGTTCTCGCCGTACACCTACATCTCAACACTCAACAGAAAGCTTTCCTCGTCATCCATTGTCTCAAATATCTCAACCCTTTCGTCCTCCATCAAAATAAGCTCCTCATCTGTATTCAATGTAGGTAGTGACAAGAGCTCTCCACAAAGGTCCGAGTCGTTTGACAGCGACAATGGCATCGTCACCCTCTCACACACTCCCATATCGGAAACGAGCAGCATTTCTTCAGGCAGCAGTGTTAGCAACGTCTCCCACTGTTAGCGAACAAGCCCCGAGGCCTCTTAGACTTGCATGAACCTAGTTGCTGCAAAAAAATGTCAGCATTGGACAAAATATTTCTTTGCCAGATCTCATTACCTGATGGTATTTTAAAACTGCGAATGCTGTGTACGACTCCTTTTCCACGCGGCATTTCGTGGCCACCACTTTTTACCCAATATCAAAATTCATTAGCCATATTATTACAATGTATTTTCACCGGTAGATTGGAAACTGAACAGTTCTCCAGTATTTGCAAAATAATCAGTTATACAGTTTACTAATTTAGGAAAATTAGAATTAGTCAACTCAAATTATATTTGTTTTCGTGCTGTTATAATAATTTTAGATCTACCTTTAGTAGCTAAGTACTGAATTGTACTTATGTAGCCTATGAAGAAAGAGAATTGTTATTCTTATTGTCATATGAACATTGGCTGTGAACCAAGATGTTTATATGTTCCGAAAAGTACAATAATACACATATGGATATATGTGTTTGTGTGTGTCTGTGGGTGTGTTTGTGTGCGTAGATGTGTCTATATGACAGGGGTGACCGACCAGTGTGCTGGGACACTGGATTTTTAGAAGTGGAGCAAGTATGGTTGTAAATATTGATTATTTTTAGCGATTTTATTATTGCGTCATTTTGTTCTCAAATGTTATCTTCCTCCATGCACCCACCAATCCTTTGTTCGTTATTGTCATGGGGGGGGGCGCTTAGGAAACGGAGACTTGAGCCCAGTGTAGGGGATCCTCCTGCCTTGGACCTCAACCATCGCCCCAACTAATTCTGTATGATCTGTTCTTCTCCCACTTTCCCTTTCCTTCTCTTTTTCATCCACTTCTTATGTCCACTTCCTAAGGCGTGAGAGCTGTGCTGAGAGGATGAAAGGCTGGCTTTGTACTCTGTTTGCTCTCTTTACCTTTTTTTCATTACCACGTTAACTTACATCGCTCTATAACCTTTGACATCTAACTTGTTTTGTCCTAATTGTTAACTCATTTTTACCCTATTTGCCACAATGCTTTATCAAAGTGCTTAATGACCATTGGTGTATGTCTGTTGTAATCATTGGTCATTCTGGGAATCCACAAACATCACTTTATCAAAAAAAAAAAAAAACAAAAAAAAAAAAAAAAAAAAACTTCCTTGCCCGGGGTTTCGCCTCCAAGCCTCACTCTATCGATATATTTGAATAAACCGCGAATGAGCTTAGATGTTGATGTGGCAGAACATTTTCATGAAATAGATAGGTATGTTTTTCATGATGATTTGTATTTAGTTAGAATTTGCATAGTAAAGAATGTTAATTATGCCAGAATATGCATAGTAAATGAATGTTAATTATGCCAGGATATACATAGTAAAAGAATGTTAATTATGCCAGGATATGCATAGTAAAAGAATGTTAATTATGCCAGGATATGCATAGTAAAAGAAAGTTAATTATGCCAGGATATGCATAGTAAAAGAATGTTAATTATGCCAGGATATGCATAGTAAAAGAAAGTTAATTATGCCAGGATATTGCATAGTAAAAGAATGTTAATTATGCCAGGATATGCATAGTAAAAAGTTAATTATGCCAGGATATGCATAGTAAAAGATGTTAATTATGCCAGAATATTGCATAGTAAAAGAAGTTAATTATGCCAGGATATGCATAGTAAAAGAATGTTAATTATGTATAAAGTAAAAATGTTTATTATGCATAGTAAAAGATGTTATTATGCCATAGTGTAAAAGAATGTTTAATTATGCAGGATATGCATAGTAAAAGAATGTTAATATGCCAGAATATGCCATAGTAAAAGAATGTTAATTATGCCAGGATATGCATAGTAAAAGAATGTTAATTATGCAGATATGCATAGTAAAGAATGTTAATTATGCCAGGATATGCATAGTAAAAGAATGTTAATTATGCCAGGATATGCATAGTAAAAGAATGTTAATTATGCCAGGATATGCATAGTAAAAGAATGTTAATTATGCCAGAATATGCATAGTAAAAGAATGTTAATTATGCCAGAATATGCATAGTAAAAGAATGTTGATTATGCCAGGATATGCATAGTAAAAGAATGTTAATTATGTTATGCCCAGGATATGGCATAGTAAAAGAAAGTCAATTCATGCCAGGATATGTCATAGTAAAATAGAATGATTCAATTATGCCAGGATATGCATAGTAAAAGAATGTTAATTATGCCAGGATATGGCATAGTAAAAGAATGTTAATTATGCCAGGATATGCATTAGCTAAATAAGAATGCATATTTAAGGATATGTTAGTTGTATATGCCAGATATACATTAGTAAAAGAATGTATTATGCCAGGATATGCATAGTAAAGAATGTAATTATGCCAGATATGCATAGTAAAAGAATGTTAATTTATGCCAGGATATGCAATAGTAAAAGAGTTATTATGGCCAGGATATGCATAGTAAAAGAAGTTAATTATGCAGGATAGCATTACATAGCAAGGATATGCATAGTAAAAGAATGTTAATTATGCCAGGATATGCATAGTAAAAGAATGTTAATTATGCCAGGATATGCATAGTAAAAGAAGTTAATTATGCAGGCATAATGCATAGAAAAGAATGTTAATGCCATATGCATATAAACAGCTGCCATGATTACCATGTAAAAGAATGTTTAATTAATTATAGCCACATAAGAATGTTAATTATGCCAGGATATGGCGCCATATTTAGAAAGAATGTTAATTGGCCAGGATATGCCATAGTGAAAAGAATGTTAATTATGCAGGACGCAAAAGAATGTTAATTATGCCAGGATATGCATAGTAAATTGTGTAATTATGCTCCCTAAAATATATTGCAGCACGAAGTTCAAAAGGAAGAAATGTTTTAACGCCATGCATGAACATTGGCTTATTTGAATTTATGTTCTTAAAAAGTACAATGAAGCCAGTCTTTTATAATTTTATGTACTAATTTTTGTAAATACGATTAAATTAAATTTTTAAAGAAAACGTCCTCTATGTCTGTTTGATCATTACAATACTGTTATCATATTAAAGTGGTGTGTGTGTGTGTGTGTTGTGTATGTGCGATGTTAAGGTTCTGGAACTAATAGGTGCACATTTAAGATGTAGATCAACATTTAGATGTCCCATATATTTTGTTATTAGCCACTCCAGATTAGTGTGTATCAGATTATTAGGTATTTTGCATAATAAATGTATATAACAATGTAGTGTCTTGTATTATAAATTCCTATTGATTCATATTTATTTTTGATATGTTAAAATATGTCTGAAAGGGAAGAGTTTATAACTATTTTCATTGGTGCACATTACAGTTAAAGGGTAAACGTGTACTTGGAATTGTGAATAATTTAATAAATTTGATACGATGAATAACACACCCTTATGAACCGAAATTCAGCGATTACCATGGGCTTAGAGCAGTGGTTCCCAACCTTTTTATTCACGCGAAATTCGAAATTTAAGGGCCCAATATTAATTTTTTATAAGCATTTCTGAAATATTGTTGTATGTCATTTCACAGACTAGCTTAATTGTAATCATAAGTACTTTCTATCAACTGATATAAGTTGGTCATAATGGGAGC